TTCGAGTGGAAATACAGTGTCTGTTCTGGCATGTGTACATCACCCCTTCCATGCCTCTGGTCTCCTGAAATTCAAGCCCTCTGTCTGCAATTTGATATACTGCATTAATTGCAAACCAGCTGATACGAGCCCATTATTTGTGAGCTTTTTATTGCATTACTTTCAATAACTGTAGCATTGCAGAACTGCTGCATGGTGCTCTGCACCATGTAACAAAAGCTTGGCTGTTTCCTACATATCAATTTTAATAACATTCCTTTTTACAAACGATAAATGCTTGGAAAGTAATTTAGAAAATCTAAGATGTTGAGCATAAATGTCTGTATGTTGGTTTTCCTTTTAAAAGAACTTGTGGGATTGTATAAATGGAGGAAAAAACTTTAAGGAATGACCCTTGATAAGTATCTAGCATCAACTTAATGACTTGATAACCAGGAAAAAAGCCAGGACTAATACTATTGAAGTTGTGCAAGTTGATATAATGGGAAACAACAAGTCCTCCTACAGATTGCAGACTTATCTGTAAACTGCACTCATGTTCAGGATAGCTAAATCCAAAAGAGAAGAACAAAGAGTACTTTCAAAGTACAGGAAGTTTTCAGTGGACAACTGGGAATTCTGTTGTGGAAGAAAAACTTAAAAAAAAAAAAAGGAAAATTGGGTAAATTTGTGAAGCTTATCGGTTTCATAAATCCCTGCCTGATTCTTGAAATACTCTGATCTCCTCCAGAGTTTATGATTATAAATCAATGCAAAGCCCTAACTGTATTGTAGTTAAATATTTATACTCCCACTATTTATGTTTTAGTAGATTTGAAGAAAAAAAATCATTAAATCAGACTGAAAAAGTGTGTGGTACCAGCAGTGCACTGTTCAAATCCAACCACACTTGGTGACAAGGTTGTTACTGCTGCATGTCCTGGATTTGATGAAAGCGGGTGGAAAGGCTGAACATAAAAATATAGAAGTAAGAAGAGAGGAATTAATGTGGGTAAACCACCAGGATAACAGGTATGAGAGGAAGGACACGAAGGCATGAAAGGCAGTTTAAATTTTGACCAGTATTACAGGCCAGCGTTTCCTGGACCTGTACGAGTGCCAGTACACCATGAAAAGTCTCTTGTTGCCTCAATAGCAAATCAGAATAAATGAGACCATGTGTCTGCATTCCTGCTTTCTCCTGTTCCTTGTCTCCTACGCAGAGGCAAGGACAATGTTGCAAACAGAGCACAGAATCAGTACCAGAAATTCTTGTTTCTCAGCCCCTCAGACATAGCCATCATCCCCATCCATCTGCTTCAGGGCAGTGCGGGACTGAAATGCGGCCCAATCATTTTTAGGTTGATGGCAAGACAGAGAGGGAGAAGAAAAGACAACCAGCTGTGATAAAAGTGGACTGGGACAGTCTTAGTCATTACTGTAAGCAGACTGGAAAGCAAGATACTGCTCTTTCAGAAACAGAACCACTGTATTTTAAAGAATCTGCTTATAAAGCCTTGCATGTTGTAAAATGATCAGATCTGATCCCTGCACCTACTGCTCAGTAGATCACTTTTACTGGTAACTACAGTTAACTATGTTTTACACATTACAGTGCACAAGACAATTTTCTATTAATTGAAGTTAATAAATCATAGGACAAAGCCACAGTTTTCAACCTAGGAATCTGTTAAGGCTTTCCATTGACTTTAGAAGACTTCCACAGAGAACTGACCATTTCTCAGCATCATGAAAGCAAACCCTGGAGTAATGTGTAGAACACAGTTGGTATACTTGCCATTCATATTAGAGTACCATATAGGATATCAATATTTGTAGGGTCATATGAGAAGCAAGTCAAGTTAACGAAGCCACTTAATATGAAAAAATAAAAGCTCTAGCTAGGCAATATGGTAAAATTCAGTACATGCCATGAGGAAACAAGCAGAGGGCAGAACAGTGAGCAAAAGTAATGAGGTGAAGGGTAGCTGGGCCTGCTCTGCACCACTTGGATTACATCACCCCTTAGGACAGGGTTCCAGTTGTACAGTGGGCTGCACAAAAGTGGTTATTTTATACTGCAGCTCCAAAATAATGGCTTGAATAAGCCAGTACTGTTGGACATTTTTACTGTAACTGGTAACAACACGTGCTGAACAGCAGCATGAAATCCTCTTCAGAAAGAAGAGCTGTAATCCTCGTGAGGACAGTATCTGCACTGTGTGACAAGAAAAAGGTTAACGCAAACATCCATTCCTTGGTCACTTATAAAGCATGGCTTGATGATTACTGCAGCAGTGTCGAAAAATGGAGATACGCTGACCACTCAAGGCTGAAGGAACACCTAGAAGATAGATTTGAGCAAAACCTAGACAACAAAGCGAGCAAGATGCACAGATATCCCAACAAAGAGAAGAGTATTTCATGTGGAATGGTTCGCCAGAGTGGATGCCTCTGGATATTGTCTGCAGAAGTGAATTTTTCTGGAAAGCACGCTCAGATACTCTGTAAATCCCCAAACACAAGCAAACTAATTTAGATATGGTATGAGGTTTGGCACCAGGGAAAGAAAAACTTTACAGTCTGACAGTTTCTAGGCAGAAAATAATGGGTTTGGAGAATTTTGAATGCTGTGGCAACCGCAGGTCAATGTCCTTCCCACCATTCCTGCCTGGTAACAAGATATCTCAGAAACAAATTGATGCCACTAAGGTAGCAATCCTCTTGAAAACAGCCTGACTCCAAAACAAAAAGTTGACCATCTTGTTTAAGCACTGGGACAAAAAAAAGGTTTTGACTTGTCTAAAAAGCCTGACCTTAGGAGAAACCTTTCTTCCTTAAGCACAAGTCTGACTGAAACAAACCATTTCAAAGCTAGGTATGGCAGGGAGGTAACTGTGATACCTTCCTGTGGATTGGGACTCATGAGTGCAGCTCTTTCTCTTGACTCCTGCTTAAGCCTGCTTCTGACCTGAGTGGTTTACTAGTCATCAGCATGGATAACCAGAACCACCTGTATGCCAGCATGAGCCAGAGCCATGTCTGCAAAGTCTGATATGCCATAATAATGCTTTCCGGATGAGCTATAAGCACTTGGGATTGATCTCGAACAGAGCTCACAAGTCCTGCTTACTTGCTACAGCAGGGATGACTTTCTTGGGAAAAATGCGGATGCAAGTGGTACCATAAAACGGAGTAAACGGATGCTTTACAAGCTTCTCGGACTAATTAAACAGCTCTTCTGTAATTATACCTAACGTAAAACCCTCAGGACTCTTACACATGCATTTTGCAAGGCAGAATAGCGAATGCGATAGAGCTGGGCACTGTGCACCAACAGGCTTTGCATAAGAACTTGTGAAATCATCACTACTCAATTTTTAGTCAGTTTTGCCACATAGCATGAGTTGTTCCTCACTGCTGTACCTTGCAAGCAGAACGTGCAGCTCATGATTTGCTGAGCTCTGGGAGCTGAACTAACCACGGACTTGATAGAGTCGTGAGTAAGAAACAATTTAGTTGTTCTCTGGGGTGAAGAATGGAAAGAAAAAGGCATGTGTTGACTGTTACATTGCAGTGCTGAACCTCCCTTTAATTCATGGAGTGGAGTCAAACAACTCCTCTGCTTCACTTCATACGGAAAACTGAATTTGTCTTTGGACTATTACTGTAAAGCAAGGGATACTCCCACAGCAGCTGAAACAAAGGCTAGTAATGTTGGAAGAAAGACACCCCCCAATTTCCAGAGGCATTGGGTGAGGCTCAAACTTTATACACTTTTGGAGTGGGCTGACCGAATAAATGAGTCAAACTATACTGGCCATTATTAAAGGTTATTAAATAGAAGCAACAGGAGCATCAGAGAGAGTTAATGTTGCAGGAGCATTTAAAAAAATGCAGAAATTCAGCCTCAATATTAACCCCTCTCCCCCCCCCCCCCAAATTCTGTACTTCTCAGTAAAAACATTCATGATCCTCATGAACAAAAATGAGCAAGAACCTTGTGATTTGATAAAATTTATATATACAAATCTATCTTCTACTTGCTTGTCTAACTGACATTTGCCTGTGTTCCTTGTTTGTTAAATCCATTTTAACAAGTTAAGTGGAAATAATAGACTTTAGAAATAATATCTGGAAACAGCTTCTGAACTGAAGCAAATCTGTTTCTCTTTAGTGAAATGAATAGAACCCTTCAGTCTGAACCAGCTGAGAACCAACCCCGTTTGGGCTGTTTTCTGGAAATACTTTAATAGAATTAATTCCCACAGTAAACACAAATGTCATTGTCCTGCTGCTGGGACATACTCTGTATTTAAAATGCTCTGGTCATTTCACTGTCTGCTTTTCTGGCAGACACAATATCTTTATTTTTCCAGCAAAACTACCATCTTCCTATGCTTTGCCAATTTATGTTATGTTTTTCTGGAGGGGGGTGGTTTCATTTACCCTCCTTTGCTTGGCTGTCAGACTGGGGCACGCCAGCGCGGCAGGACGGTGAGAAGCCGCTGCTGCCAGCCACAAGGATGGGCCCGGGGATGCTGCCCGGGGCGGCCTGGCATTCCTGACACTTCCCAAAGATCCAAGGCACCCTGGCACAGGCTGTGCCAGTGCTGAAAGATCACAAGGTCTCCGGCATCGCTGCTACTGCCAAGCGCCGCTTCTGTGCCGACTGGAGCTATTGCCTCCCGGGAGAGGGAAAGGTGCAGGTAAAGTTTTGGGTGCTTCCCTGCCAGCCGGGCAGCGCTGATGCCGGGGAAGCAGGAGCGCGGAGACGCCGCTCCAGGGGGCAGCCGCACCTGGCACGCACCGCCCGCACAGACAAGGAGATCACGCCTTTTGCACCGAACATCACCAGAAGTTGTAGCGGGAGGGAGGAGGTGAGCTGCGGTGCGAGCACCCTTCCCGACACCCCTCCCCGGCCCCGGGCTTGTGCCCTCCCCACCGCGACACCGGCTCCACGGGCGACTTCCCCAAGCTGCAGCCGCCCGGGACCCTCCCCGTGCCAGCCCCCTACTCACCGGTCTCTCCATCATCATCATCTTCCTCCTCCCCCTCCTCCTCCTCCCCCTCCAGATCCAGCAGCACATCTTGGTTCTCCGCATTCATGGTGCCGCCGTTGCGGGCCCCCGCTCCCGCTCTCCCGCCGCCGGGAGCCAAGCCCGCCCCGAGCCCTCCCTGCCCCGGAGGCGGGGCGGCGGCGGGGGGCGGGCGGGGCGGCTGCCGGCACCTTCCCAGCAGATCCTCCCGCCCGCCCTCATCCCGGCTCTCTGCCTGCGGGCTCCCAGCGCATCCCGCCGCTGCCAGCCCAGCGCTGGTGCTGCCCGCTGGCAGGCCCGCAGGAAGGCGCTCTGGGGGTCAGGGCAGGCATCAGTGCGTTTCCTTAGCTCGGACATCGTTATCACCTTCCAGCTGGAACCGTGCGGATGGGTAAAGGACTCTTGCTGATCTTTGGGCAGAGAAAGGCAGCGACCGCTGTCAAAATCGTGTTCTGTAAGAGGACACATTGATGTACTTCAGTAATAGCATCATAGAATCATAGAATAGTTAGGGTTGGAAAGGACCTTAAGATCATCAAGTTCCAACCTCCCTGCCATGGGCAGGGACATCTCACTCTAAACCATGCCACCCAAGGCCTCGTCCAACCTGGCCTTGAACACTGCCAGGGATGGAGCATTCACAACTGTCTTGGGCAACCTATTCCAGTGCCTCACCACCCTCACAGGAAAGAATTTCCTCCTTATATCCAATCTAAACTTCCCCTGTTTAAGTTTTAACCCATTACCCCTTGTCCTATCACTACAGTCCCTAATGAAGAGTCCATCCCCAGCATCCTGAGTGATTAAAAAGGGGAAGCTGGAAAAAACATACTAATCATTCAATCATAGAATCATAGAATATCAGGCTGGAAAAGACATCAAGGATCATCTCGTCCAACCTTTCTAGACAAAGCATGACCTAGACTAGATGTCCCACCATGCTGTATTAGAAATGTCCAATGTTGGGGAATCCACCACTTCCCTGAGGAGATTATTCCAATGGCTGATTGTTCTCCATGTGAAAAATTTTCTTCTTATGCCCAACTGGAATCTCCCCAGGAGTATCTTGGGCCATAGCCCTTTGTCTTTTCCATGTAACTCCTTGTAAAAAGGGAGTTTCAGTCTTCTTTGTAGCCACCCTTTAAATACTGGGACATTGATAAGGTGATAAGGTCTCCCCTGAGCCTTTTTTTTCTCAAGGCTGTACAAACCCAGTTCTCAGCCTTTCCTCTTATAGCAGGCATCCAAGTCCTTGGACCATGTTTGTGGCCCTTTTCTGGTACCATCTTTCTTTTTATAGTGGGAACAAAAACTGAACCTGTTACTCCTTTGCACATTTTGTTTCTTTTTCTTTATTTTTCTTTCAGTTGGCCATATCATAGTATTTGTATTCATGATCATATAATAAGCTGATCAAACACCATCTTAAAACTAATTAGGGAACAGGTTTTCAACAGCATCCAGGGTGAAGATACAAAGATGTCTCTGGCTTCATTCATAGGTTTTGGCATGACCTTTTGGCAATGGGTCAGGAGTGAAACCCTGCAATAAGTCAGATGATGCACCCAGGCACTGAAGAACTCAGCACTGATAAATACGCCCGAAAACGTGAAGCCCACGTATATAAACCCCCCTAACCCAGTGAGAATTGACAGAAACTAGCAGAAGTTGGGGAGGGGGAATGCTGAAGGACTGGATTCAAAGCCCATTAGAGCCCTACTGATGTATTCAACACGGTTAACTATTTCCTAGCCAAGAGCTTGTCCTCATCTCCATCTCCAGATACAAGCTAACAGAGTTTTGCAACGGAGGGAATGCAGAATTGTCACTGTGCAGAAATGCTGTGGGGGCAAACATACTCATGAGAAGGGATTTGCTACATGAGCACTCAAGCTCAGCAGTATACTGATCTACTCACATGTATTGGTCCCAGAGGAAAAGTAGAGGGTTCCTAAAACTGGAATATATCTGGAGGAGTACCCAAAGAGGAGCTGGAAGGAGCTGGAATATTGGGAAGAAATGGAAATGAGACTGGAAAAACGGATTGAAGAAACAGGGAGTTGTGTTTAAGGAAAGGAGAAGATAAGAAGAGCAAGATATTCTTTTTTTTTTTTTTTTTTCCCCCTGAATAAAGCAATAAATACTGTATAAGCAATCTATTTTCAATCTCTAGTCTATTGCTGATACAAAAATGGCCCATAGGACCCAGGATGTCTGAAGTGTACAAACAGGAATCTGGACGAAATGCCATTTGTCAGATAAGCCAGTCACTTGCTAATACGGTTATCTGTTGTCAGGCAGCTGTGGGCTAGAGTCACAGCAGGGCCCGGCATTACAACAAGTCAAAGTGCAAGCACTTTCAGACAAAGATGAGTTGAGAAATGTAACTGGGAAGTTTTGGAGCAGCTCTGCTTAGCAAAGACCTCCTCACATTGATTGCTTGAAGAGGGAAGTGGTCTGCAAGGGCATAAGTGAAATCACCAGAACAGAAACTACCTCTCTCTACCCTGTTCATGCCAGCACCAGTATTAGCAAATGAGCATTATCTGCACCATCTGACACTGACCGTTTTTCTCACTGTGTTAGATAAAGCAGGCCTCACAGAGCTGAACTGCAGGAGGGCAATATGATAGGGGGGTACCCAAAAGGAGTCATGATGCCTGCTAAGATGTGTTTTCTTATGTCCCAAGTTAGAAACCTGGTGTGCTGGCCTGTGACCCAGCCAGCCTGCCTCTGCCCATCTCAGCATGTGCCTTACTCACTGTCACGACCATTTGTCAGGTTTTACACTTTGTGAGGTGACATGGAGAGAATGAATCACGCTGCTTCTTGCCAGAAGTGTTCAGAAGGCTGCAGACACCACATGGTTTCAATGAGTCCAGCAAACAGATGCAGTGACATCTTTATATATCTGTGTTGTGTAATATTCAGCTGTCCTCCTTCCCTGTGGGTCCTCCCCAGAATGTGGTCCCAATGGTGAGGTCTCATTTTGTAAGTGATCGAAGGAGAGCAGGGACTGTTACAGAAAGGTAGAGCCTGGCTTAGGACCGTGACTAGAGATTTGTGTGCTCTCGGATACACACCAGGGACATCACTGTTACCTTGGTTACACACTTCCCATTTTCACATTTCATGAATGAAGAGGTAATCGAAAAGCTGCAAAGTGCAAAATAAATGTGTACAAAAGAGAAGCATTTCAAAACCAGGCTATACACAAAATGTTTTTAAGTGGATCCTCATAAAAATACAGGAAGAGGATCGACCTCTTCAGTCCTGGTCGCACTGGAGGATTTCTCCCCGCAATTAGAGAACATGAACATTGAGGGATTCATTCAGCCTTTGAACGTGAATTTGAAGCTGAATGCTCATTTCGCAGGTTACTTCGGAGCTGGGTTTTGCAGGTATCTGAAAAGGCGATAGGAGCACTGAAATTCCTGTAAACTCTTTGAAAACACATCGCTATTGGTTTTTTTTACCTTGATACCTAACGCAGCCACTTCCGTGTGTGCTTTCAGGAAAGCACCGCAGCACCAAAGCTTCCGAAGGTTCGTTTTGTTGCTCCTGAAAACCAGAGAAAGCAAATGAAGAGAAAAACGCAACAGCACCACCCTGCTGCCATCTCCTTGTCAGACTGATAATAACAAGAGATCCGCTCAAAGAAATGCAGTTGTGTAACCTGGAGCTGAGAAGCGGAGTTTTTCCGAAGCCATCTGAAATGAAGAAGTTAGGCTGAACCAGATCCTTCCCTCCCGCCCCCCAGTTCTAGCATGGCTGGTTTCAATTTTATAGAAGAAATAAAAGTGTTTTAACATTTCTGGTAGTGAGAAACAGAGCAGAGGTCCACGGAGCCAGTGGAAAAATTGCTTCCATGGGTAAGGGTTTCATAGCAACCCTAACAACATAGGTCAGGGAGAGACTGAAAGAGATTGTTTAGTCCACTGGTGACAAAACTTTGGCACAGGCACTAAGCGTTTAACTGACATGGATCTGGGCTGGCACCAGGGTCTCTGAGTCACAGAGCCTTTGACAATGAATCTGGCAGCAAGCATCAGAAATACGCTGTTGACAGCTAGCCTGGTCCAAGCCCTAGCAGTAAGGCAGGTTTGAATGTACCCAGACATTGGTGACAAATATTTGCTGCTCACGTGCTTCGCAGTCCACGAGGTCCCCAGGTGTTCTTGCCAGAGTTCACTCCTGTCAATACACAGCCAATTGCAGCAACTGAAGCTGTTTTCTTCTTGTCTTTCTCCCAGCATCCATGACAACAGCTGGTTGTTGTCCTCCTAATAATAGCATATTACATATGGAAAATAATCATCTTAATGCCTCTGAAGCTTTTCTTATCCAGATTACACAAACCCAGGCCTTCTAGCCTTCCAGCATGCATCGCTGTCTGTATTCTCTGCTGTTAGTCTAAAAATCTCAGTGTGAGACTCTGTGGAAGGAGAATACAATATTATCTTACAAAATCTCTTGAGTACATTGGCTTTACCCACTCACAGGCCTTTTCTCAATGGTCTCATTCACTTGGACTCTCACACCCACATACTTGACAGAGCCAAGATGTAAGTGTTCGGGTGGTCTGGCCAGGGTCACTTGTGTCCAACACAGAGAACAAGGGGGCTGGGGAGGTCCATCCTTGAAGATACTCAAAAGCTGCCTGAATACAGCACTGGGCAACTAGCACTAGAAACTCCTCCCTCCCCATGACCTCCAAAGGTCCCTTCTAACCTCAGCTGCTCTGTAATTCTGTGAAGGGATGCCAGGTATCAGGTCCTCATCATATGTTAAACAGCAACAATAGACTGATTTTTGGGCAGATCCTTCATACTCAAGAGACAAAAATCACTATGGCTTGATTCTTTGCATCAGAATTTTTACTTCAACCTCCATAAATTTTAGACACATCTGCTCCAAGCTCCTTAAGGCCATAGTCTGTATTCTAGCTGGGAAAAAAGGAACAGGAATGGTATATATGATATGCTGTTACCTTCCTCCCATCTTCCTCTTGTTAGAGAGTAGGGTCTTCTGCTGACAGGCAGTCTGTGGTCTCGTTCTACTGGAGTGCAGTCCTCAGCTTAATACAGGCAGCAACCCTTCATCTTAATGTTGTGGACTATGCCCTTGTTTAGTAA